ACACATAATCACCAAACCTCTGTCAAAACAGAAACGTATCTGAGGAGGCAAGATTTGAAGCCAACAACTTTAACGGCTTCTTGTCATTCCTCCAGCATCCTCTAAGCCCCATGGAAATGACTATACTCTTTCTGTGCACTAGAAACCAGAGATAGGAAGGGTTTAATACTGATTGCTATGGAGATCATAAAATGCGAGCTAAAAGTAAAGCCAGCCCAAAGACTGAGCTTTGAGTTTTCAACTGAAAGCAAGTTGCTAAGAATATATACTCCAACAAACCCTGAGCCCAAAAATAGCTCTTGTATTTACCAGATGATCTTCTCAGTTTACACCCCTTCCAGCAGCATAAAATAAAATACATGCAATCAAATAAATACCCACATTCCCAAAGGAAGGGTGGTTTAGTTAAATACAATGCTTAATGCAGTTGTAAAGATTCAAGACACTTTTCTTTCAACTGTAAAAGTGCCTTTTCCAATGCTAACCCCTTAAAGTGTCATTTCTCATGCTGAATGAGTCATAAATCAGCCTAAGAATGAATACTTCAAATCAAGACTTCCTTACAATGTCAACCAGTCAACAGTTCAACTTCAGCACTGATATTTTACTAGCAGTGTTTGTTTACACAATTATTTAAATATTCTGCTACACTTTGCCTTTACAATTTCCTTTTAAAAATCACTAGATAGTGGGAAAAGAGCTAACTGGAGAAGATTGCTTATGTGTTCAATATTGAAGAAAATAAACTGAGAAAACCTAACAAATCCTAGGAATACCTTGTTAACTATTACGTCTAAAAGGTAAAATGTTAGCATTCTCTCTCTGGGGAAAAAAAAAATCTCATCACATATAACTCAGCCATTTAACTTTCTCCTATTTACTCTTCAAAGACGATTTAGGAAATACATTAATAAGGAAGATCCAGGCTTACCTGTATCAGTAAATTTACTCAAAGAAATCCATTTATATTTTAAAACACGAAATTGAAAGTAGCTCCTAAAAATGGATGCTGTGGAACCCAGTCATTTTCAGCCTCCTTCAACCAACACTTCAGTTTTTGTAACTGTATCATTAAACTCCAGGAAGAAACATATATTTAGGATATTTAGAATGGCTTCTGAAAACCCCTTGGATTGCTGATGTTAAAAAATACCCCCTCCAGAAGACATGAATAGACACTTTTCCAAAGAAGACATCCAGATGGCTAATAGACACGAGAAAAGATGCTCAACGTCACTCATCATCAGGGAAATACAAATCAAAGCCACAATGAGATACCACCTCACACCGGTCAGAGTGGCTAAAATGAACAAATCAGGAGACTATGGATGCTGGAGAGGATGTGGAGAAACGGGAACCCTCTTGCACTGTTGGTTGGAATGCAAACTGGTACACCCACTCTGGAAAACAGTATGGAGGTTCCTCAAAAAATTAAAAATAGACCTACCCTATGACCCAGCAATAGCACTACTAGGCATTTACCCAAGGGATACAGGAGTGCTGATTCATAGGGGCACATGTACCCTAATGTTTATAGCAGCACTTTCAACAATAGCCAAATTATGGAAAGGGCCTAAATGTCCATCAACTGACGAATGGATAAAGATGTGGTATATATATACAATGGAATACTACTTGGCAATGAGAAAGAATGAAATCCTGCCATTGGTAGCAACATGAATGGAACTGGAAGGTATTATGCTGAGTGAAATAAGTCAGTCAGAGGACAGATATCATATGTTTTCACTCATATTGTGGATCTTGAGAAGCTTAACAGAAGACGGTGGGGGGTGGGGGAGGGAAACTAGTTACGAACAGAGAGGGAGGAGACAAACCACAAGAGACTCTTAAATACAGAGAACAAACTGAGGGTGGATGGGGGAGGGGAAGAGGGGAAAATGGGTGATGGGCATGGAGGAGGGCACCTGTTGGGATGAGCATTGGGTGTTGTATGTAAGCCAATTTGACAATACATTATATTTTAAAAATACACCGTCATTTTAATGCACTTTTCATTCAACTACAGTAATAACACAGGTCTCAGTAACGGGCAGTAAAACCAACACAGCAAAACAACTGACATATTGAAAAAACTTTTAGAAAACTAAGAGTCCTCTGAGTAGCCTCAGGCTTTACTCTCACCAGTACCCCGCTCCTCCCCTGTTTGGATGCTGGATCTATGAACAAATCGGGAACGGGAACTTGGGCTGGATGTGGTCATCACCCTCATCCATCAGATACATGGTGTTCCATATCAACCTCCTTTCCGCTACCTAGGCCCAAAACAGAGGCAAAGCTTCAATCACAGTAAGAGGGAATATAGACAAGTTACAAAGGTCTTTGCCAGGTAAAGGGAAAACAAATTAGTTTGGGAAAAGTTCTAAAATCTTCCTGAGATAGGGGCACCTGGGTGGCTCAGTCGGTTGACCGTCCGACTTCGGCCCAGGTCATGATCTCACAGTCTGTGGGTTCAAGCCCCACATCGGGCTCTGTGCTGACATCTCAGAGCCTGGAGCCTACTTCGGATTCTGTGTCTCCCTCTCTCTCTCTGCCCCTCCCCCACCCATGCTCTGTCTGTCTGTCTCTCTCTCTCTCTCTGTCAAAAATAAATAAACATTAAAAAAAATTTTTTTAATCTTCCTTAGATGGACGCAAGCTGCAATCTGACCTCACGGCTGAAGTTATACTAATTTAACTATACATTCTAGTAAGCAGAATTATCCGGTGACTAAATTAGATCACACTTCTAATATCTGAAAAAGAATAACGGTCAATGTCTGTAATGTCACACTGGTAGATTCTTTTTCTTCATTATGCACAGAAAGTTACATACTCCACATTTTTCCTTCCTCTCTTCCCTCAATGAGAAATACTATTTCTGTACCTTCTCATAACTCTACTTTAGAAGGACTGATTATAAAGAATTACTGAATGTTTCAAGTGGAAAAAAATCTATTAAGACCTTCAGATTATTGAAATTACAACTGAAAAGTAATTCTCGGCAACGGAGGAAACCATTAAGTATAGAAAAGGGCTTTTAATTTTAGACACCTAAAAGTCATTTCACTTTGTACACTGAACCACTCATTTTCACTAACAAATAAAACACTGTATCATTTAGCAGAGCCATTAGGCAAAGTTTAAAGTTTTCAATAGTCATATTTCCTTCTACCTTCAATTGTTTTTTAAGAAAGGGGGAATTGCTTTAAGTGACACCATCAAGAACAGGGAAAGACAACTCATAGAATGGGAGAAAATATTTGCAAATCATATATACAGAATATGTAAAGAACTCTTACAACGCAATAATAAGACAAATGATTTAACTTTTAAAATGAGCAAAGGACTTAAATGTGTATTTCACCAAAGAAGATATATGAATGGCCAATAAGCGGTGGGAAAGATATTTGATTGGGAAATCACTGGGAAAATGCAAGTCAAAACCACACAGATACCACTTCCAACCACTAGATGGCTATAAATAAAAAAGATAGACAATAACAAATGTTAGCAAGAATGTAGAGACACTGCAATATTTACATATTGTTGATTGCGATATAAAATGCCACAGACACTTGGAAAACAGTTTGGCAGTTTCTCAAAAGTGTTTAATATAAAGCTGCCATATGATCATGTAATTCCATTCCTAGGGATATACCCAAGAAAAACGAAAAGCCGTTCATACAAAAATCTGTACATGGATGTTCAGAGCAGCATTATTCGTGGCAGTGAAAACTGGCAACAACCCTTATGTCCACCAATTGATGACTGGATGAAATGTGGTTTATCTTTAACAATGGAGTATTAGGTGGCAATAAAAAGGAAGCATGCGAATTACAACACGGATGAACTTCAAAAACGTTACGGTAAGAGAAAGAAGACAGTTACCAAAGACCACATATTGTAGGAGTCAGTTTACAGGAAGTTTCCAGAATAGGTACATCTGCAGAGTAAATAAATTAGTAACTGCCTAGAGCTAAGGGTAGGCAATGGGGGTGTGACTGCTAAGGTTTCTATTTTATGGTGATGAAAATTACATCGTGGTGATGATTGCAAAACTCTGTAAATACACTAAAAGGCACTGAATTGCACACTTTAAACGGGTGACATGGTATCTAAAGTGTACCTCAATAAAGCTGTTTAGAAGAGAGAGGAGGATGCAGTAACGCGTTGCATTTCCTAGCGCCTCTCAAGACTGGATCATAAGACTACTTTGACCTTTTATCGCCTAAAAACACTGTTGCCATGTTTAAATCTAATACCACACAAGACATGAAAACAGAGTGTCGCGGAGGGAACTGGGTATCGCTGAGAGTCCTGGAGATAGTCCCAGAAACATACGTGCATTCTCAGGAACATGTGTGTACCAAAACAGACCCACAGAACATAGGTCTGTGCAACGGTCTTGGCAAACAATGAACAGACATTTCTCCACGGAACTAAAGATTGCATGAAAGCTGGTGAAACAGCAGCGTTCCCAGGTGCACCAGAATCCCAAGCTGATCGATCTTAGAGCCTGGCGCTCGCATAATTAACAGGGATCTCAAAGCTTGGCCAGTAATCGGCAAATGGAGAGAGGCAGAGGGACTCAGGGGCCAGCTCCCCCACCCATGGCACCGCCGTCACGCACCCCAAGCTGCGGCTCTCCGTGGGAGTCCGAGGCCGGAGCGCCTCAGCGCACGCGGCCAGCGCGCTCGCCTCGCTCCCTGCATTAGTCAACCGCTCGGCGGCGCACACAGGAGCGAGGGGGGCGGCCTCAGAACCGCAGGGGTCACAGGACACAGGTTCCCGGCTCGCGCGAGTAGCAGAGGAAACACAGCGCGCCGTCACCCAGCCACCCGCCGGGGCAGGGGCTGTTCATCTTGCAGCCCCTGTCTCGCGCAGAGCACGCCACCCCGAGAACGTCCCCGGGATCCAGGCCGCAGGGCCGCCAACGTCCCCCGGGGTCCCCGCGCCCGGGGCCGCCCTCCCCCCGCGCCACCGAGTCCGCCGGCTCCTACCTTCCTCCTGCACCATTTCCAGGACGTCTGGGTCGCCCATCTGCGCCAGCTCGTTAATGACACTGACCGAGGTGTGGCAGAGCGAGGACCACTGCGACTGGCGGCGAGGTTTGGGGGAGAGGCTGATTTGGATGGTGGGCGGCCGTCGTCGCTGCTCCGACAACCAGCGGGGGCAGGCTTCGCTCGTCTCCCCCTTCAAGACCACGTTCTTCTGGGTCTCCGCCTGCCTCCGCTCCTGCGGGAGGTTGGGCTTCTTCTCCAGCCGGTACTTACTCTCGACCTGCTTCGTGCCCTTGGCCCTGCGCTTCACCTTCCTCTCCCGGTGGCGCTCCCGGGAGCCCTCCCAGTACCCTCCCCGGAGCGTGCCGGACCCCGGGGCGCCCTGGCTCCCCGCCTGCTGCCGAGCCTCGCTTCTACTCCTGCTCTCCCCGGCCGGCCCCTCCCCGTCGGTCTGGTCCTGCTCTCCCCGCCCCTCTCCGCCCCTCCCGCCCTCCAGACCCGCCGCCACCCCTCCCTCGGGGGCCGCCCTTTCCCCGCCCCCTGGCCCGGCGGGCTCCCAGCCCGCCCGCCCCTCTCCTCTCCGGCCGCCCGGTACCCCCGGCTCCGGCTCCGGCTCCGCCGCCTCCTCGGGGCCCGCCGCCTCCCGGCTCTCCCGGCCGCTCGGCCCCATCAACAGGTCTTGCTGGTCCCATTCCACCCGGTTGTCCCAAGCCCGAGACGGCTGGCCTTCCCCCGCTGTCTCCTCCCCTCTCTCCAAACCCTCCTCCTCTGATCTCCGCCGAGCGGCCTGGTCCTCGTCCATCTGCCTAGCCTTCCGCCTTCCGCGGGTGGCACTCGGACGGAACCCCCTCCCAGTTGGGGAGTTATTTTTTGTCGGGTGAGAAAAAGCCCCCCTTCCTTAAGGCGACCCCTGCTTTAAGGCCGGCGCGTGGGCGTGTCTCCGAGGTTCCTGCAGCCTCCCCCTCCTGCCTCTGCCACCTGCCGCGGGGGTCTCAGCTTTTCTCCTGACCGGGCCTCCCTCCTGGGCGCCGAACCGGATCTCTCTCTAACAAATCTGGGGACAACTCATACATTTTTGGCCTGAGTTCGAATTCAAGCAATGCCTCTTAAAAGTTGAATGGCATTGGGCTAGTTTCTATAAGCTTTAGGTGCCTCGTCTTAAAAATAAGAACACAGCACCCACCACCCAGGGGTGTAGTGAGTATAGAGTGATGGCATACTGCACTAAAATCTCGCTGCTCTCAGAGAACTCACCCATATTACTTTGAGCCCTGCCTCTAAGTGTCCCTTAGTGCCTTGAGCAGAGTGAACGGTCCCACTCTTCACAGGCTCCTCTGAACTGGTTCTGTGTTGTTGAGACCCTTCCAACCGCCAGCTCCCCAACGTTGGGAGATGAGGTCAATTACTGTCTAAGATGGGGGAACAGATGAATGACAGTGTGCTGAGGGTGAAGCAGTGGTCTCAGCTGAAGGCCTTGACGGTGCTCAGGAGGTAGTGACTGAGTTTGGGGCAGGGATGCAGTGATTTAAGAATAAGGAGGAGATGACCAGGGAAGACTTGACCTTTCTTCATTTTTATGCTGTTTTTTGTTTTCCCCTTCCTATTGACATTTTGGAACTGAGAATTACCTTTTTCAGATGAGTAAACAGGCCTAGAAAATATTTTGGTGAAGGTCATGGTTAACTGTGGAACTAAAAACTGTCTTCTTTTTCTCCTTTTCTTTCTTTCTTTTTCTTTCTTTCTTCCTTCCTTCCTTCCTTCCTTCCTAGAGATCTCTATACCTTGCTATCTGTTCCGTATTTAAACTTCTAGGAGTACATCAGTGCTGGTCAAGCAATTTGAGACTGTAGGCAATTCCTTACTTGATATGCTTTGGAACTGTGTTTGAAATGTGAATGTATGTAACTCAAGCGATAGTCTTAAATGTGATTAAAATAAATCACTAGTTGTGATACAGTGTTTGGTTTTTCCGATTGAATATTAATCATTGTTTGATTCTAATAAGCTGTTTACAACATGATTTGTTTCATGTTCTTCCTGTATACCAGAACTCTGGTAGGTACTGTGGATATGTCATTGAACAGATGACTACAATCTTTGTTTTACATAGATTAAGCAAAAATACATGCAATAAAATTATTTTTCTATAATTTTATAAAATCATGTTTTATATTCCTTGGTTCTGTACCATATTGGAAGTGACATATATGAGCAGACATTTAATGTTGATGATTTTGCACAAAAGTAAATGGAATTTTTGATGGTATATTTGCTGATATTTTATCAACTTTCTGTAAACTTTGTTACCAAAAAGTTGAAGGCTTCTTTTGTTCCTTTGTAAAGGTCTGTATCTTACCCACAACTCTTGGAGCTCTTAAGGAATTTTCTCTGTATTCTTATCACTGAAATATTTTATGTTGCTTATCCATTTACAGTTTTAAGATCTGTTTATTTCCTCCATTGCTACATCCTGCATCTTTCAACAGAATCATCGACCATACATTTCCAGAATTATTTTCTGAATAATGAATACATGTTCTTCTAATGTAATTGAATATACAGTTAAGTATTGAGTTGAGATAAAAAAAATTTATCTTAAAAAAAAAACACTCTTTTTTAGCCCTCCAAATGAGTTCTCCCTTTGTTTCAAGATTATTTGGCCTTTGCTTCAGTGTTACTACAATCATCTGGTAGTGCCTTTTTAAAAAAAAAAAAAATTGCCCTTTGTTGATGAGCATTAAGGAGTGCACTTGTCATGATGATTAAAATAAAAATTTTTAAACATTGCCTTATGTTTCCTAGACTAAGGGTGGTATGCAAAAGTATTTAAATAATAATAGAAACATAGCTATAATGATATAAATGGTGACACTTTGAAAATCAAACTGTAAACTGGCAGATTGAAATAATTGCCAACTGAGAAGTAAAAGTATCAATGTGCTATGGGAAAGACACTTTAGGGGCACCTGGGTGGCTCAGTCGGGTGAGATTCCAACTCTGGATTTGGCTCTGGTCATGACCCCAGGACAGAGCCTCAAATTGGGCTCAGTGCTGAGTCTGGAGCCTGCTTGGGATCCTCTCTTTTTCCTCCCTCTGCCACTCATCCCAGCTCGTGCTCTCTCTCTCACTCTCTGAAATAATAAAAAAAAAAAAAAAAAAAAGGGAAGACACTTAAGGAGTGTCAGTATATAATGTGTGAAAGCCTGAGCTGTATGGAAGTTAAATGTATACACTTGAGCAACACCTGCATGTGAGTAATGTTTTATTTTAGCAACCTGATTGAGTAGATGGATCTAACTCTGAAGAGGACAAGTTCATGAGCTAGATTCTGGAGGCCAGAAGGGCCTTGAGAAGTCATCTGATGAATCCTCCACCCTCTATCCTCCTGGTATTCAAAGAAAGGACATGGGACCTCCAGTCAATATTCCAGATCAGTTGGCTTTCTTGATTTCTCCTCATATCAAGGCTCTATCTCCTAGCATTAGTTTCCTCCTTTGGGGTCTAATAGGCATTTATTATTTTTTAACCCCTAAAAATTTCATTCTCTCCATTTTCAGGTGACCCTGGAATGATGTGGGAGTTAGGGACACTGACCCCTGCACAGTCAAAAATCTGCATATAATTTTTGACTCCCCAGAACTTAACTACTGATAGCCTACTATTGACCAGAAGCCTGGTGATGACATAAACATTATATTTTGTATCATTACACTAAAGTAAGCTAGACAAAAGTTTGTTAAAATCATAAGGAAGAGAAAATGCATTTATAGTACTATACTGTATTTATAAAAAGATTACCGTGCAAAAGTAGATCAAACCTTTGGGGTTCAAGGATCAACTATTTTTAACATCACTACAATCCTCAAAAAATCCACACCATGCTTTAAGGTGTGGAGCTTTGAACCAGGAATCAACAGACATACATTCCATCCTTGTCGTTGTCCCTTGATAAGCTGAACAGCACAATGACCTTGAACAGATGACTTTGCTTTGTTGAGCCACAGATTTCCCCATCTGTGAATATTAAGGCTCTTACCTGTTCTGCCCATCTCTCAAAGTTGTTGTGAAAGTCAAACAAATCATAAGCATGAAAGGAGTTTGGAATCAATAAAAGAGTAACAAACAGGAGAAAGTTTTATTGACTGGCAGAGGTAAAGTCCTAGATTTACTAGTAGGTAGGAATACTAGTCGTGGGTGTTGTTTTTCCTCCACAAAATGCAGCTTCAACCATGTGTCTGGAATTTGCAGGTACTTTCTGACTCCATACAGATTCCTCATTCACTATTCCCTGGTTTCAAAAAACAGGCTGTGTCTCTTTAGTTGCAAAATTTATCTCTCTGCATCCTGACTTTTTTTTTTTTTTTTTTTTTTTTTTTTTTTTTAGGTGCTGGACCTTTACAATAAGCTCTAGTTCTGTCTACTGGCTTACCATCTCATATTCTTCCCTCTTCTAAAAACAAACAAACAAACAAACAAACAAAAAACCTCACTCAAAGGCTGGCACCTGGAACCACTCTGGTCATCAAACACTGATTTAATACTTGGCACTCATGGACATGTTGATAATTACCAAGATAAATGCCTAGGATAGCGTGTCAACTCTGCCCTGTTACTAGGGAAATGGTGTTGGTTCCCAGACTATACGGATCATGGGGCACTGTCTCAGCAAAGGATAAATAAGGAACAAGGGTGTGTTACTCTCTCCTATGCCTGCTTAGGATGGCATCTAAGTTAGAAATGACACTCCACCACTTGCAATCTGCCAATGGCTTCTATCACATAGAAGGGAAAATTGAAATGTCTTTCTTGTCAGTAGGATTGCAATGCTATATTTCCATGATTTGGGCCTGGGTAAATCTATTATTTCCCATCTCTCTCATTATGCTCCAGCTATGCTGTCTTGTTGCTGTTCCTCAAACACAAAAAACACTTATCCATTACTTCCCTCAAGCACTTTGCCCATGCTAGTCCCCCTGCCTGCCTATAAAGATCTTCACACAGATGCTTAATGGCTAACTCTCTTACATCATTCAGTTTCTACGTAAATGGCACTTCCTCAGAATTTTGATGACCACCCTAAGACAATAACCTCACATCACTCTACTCACCTTGTGTTACTTTTCTTCATAGCATTTATCTCTTTCTGACTCTAAATTTATTTGCTCGTGCGCATTTACTTGTGTATAAGCTCTACATAGAGGCTCAGGTTTTCCTGGTTCTTCACTGTGGTTTCTGTGGTGCTTAGAATGGTGCCTGACACAGAAAGACTCTCAAGAAATATTTCTTGAATGAATGATACAAACAAGGTTTATCACCAAATTTCCTATCTTTTAGTCTAGGCAGTACCTAACTCCCCCAATGCCCCATGCTTTCTAGCAGCTGGGAAAATAATCTAATTCTGAAAAAAAAAAACTATAAAACTTCTATAAACAGTTTTACTAAAAAGCTGAAGAAGCTGGTAGAATCAGCAGAGATATAGACAGTAAATCAGAACT